TAATCATGTTGGAAATGATTCGCACATGAAAATATCAGAGGTGCGAGACCCGGGATTTGAACTCGCTTCACTCGGTTTCCCAAGCGAACGCGTTACCACTGGGCTGTAGTAGCCACGTAATAATGATAGAACAAAATATTTATTTATATATTCAATTGCATGTCGTATTATCTATCATTTTAATACAAATTGCCTATCAATACAACCAGCGACCGTAACGTACCGAGAATTGAGAAATAATCGTTAAGTGTTCTTTTTGCTTATTTGTTTTTATTTTAATTACTTCAGGCATAATTATTTGAACGCTGTTAAAGCTTATAGGAAACATACTAGAAATAACTATATGTAATCAGATTTTCACATTTCTTACTGCGGCAAATCACGAAATCTTGCTGTTATATCTTACTATGAAAAAATATATTAAACATTAGCTACTCACCGCGCTCGGGTTCAACCCTAGATACGTTTTAACGTTTAGTATAGATTTCTCAGAGATGAGATATTTTCCGCAGTAAAACGTATCCTATATGTTGATCAGGATAACCAGCTATCATCATACCAAATTTCATCAAAATCCGTCCAGTGGTTTTCTCGTGATGCATTCCCAGACAGACAGACAAAAATTCTAAGATTTTGAAAAAAATATGTACATATAATGTACCTACAGATTCGACTCAAAACTATATTATATACGTTATACAGGACTGAAACGTTTTCCTATTGCTGCTTATGTATTAGTAACAAAATTTGCGAGAAGATGGCGATTTTTTTTATTTATCATTATAAATACAAAAGTCACCGAGCAAAGCGAGGGTAAGTCGCTAGTAAGAAATGTTTACATCGTTTTAACTCCCTAGAAATGATACAGTGGATTTTATTTACATACAGTTATAAAGTCGTATAAAGATAAAAAAGGAATAAAAATACAGTAAACAACAAACCTCATATAGCTAACAATAAATTAACAACTAAGTCAAAAAAAATGTTAAAAGACTATTTAGTTGATTTAAATATTCAATTCGCAGTAAAAATAATAAAAAAATCAGTAGACGATAGTCCGTAATGACGATCATAATGTGTGATAAAACCCACTGAGCTCGATTAGTGACGTATCGATATATACTATCGATAAGTCGAGCCGATTGCCAGCTTATCAGATCTCAGCAAAACGATAAATGAAATATTTTATAAAGTAAAGCCTTAACTGAATTAAAATGGAAATGAATGGCGTAGTTATTTATTTTGCACATTAAGTCATTTTGATAATTTACGAGTACGTGGCTAGTTTTAACAAAAACAAACGAGCATTTACAGTTTTAATTTTTAAAGAAATCGACCAAAAAGGCAGTTTTTTGTGATTTTAGTTCCAATAAAAATAAAAATTATCTCATTCTATTAAGTAATTTTATTACTCATTATTTATTGTTTTAATTTTTCATGCCCAACTGTTGTTTTATTTCATTATTAAATATCATACTAAATCTTGACTCTTCAGGTCGAAGATACAACAAGATAAAATAGTATTTTCTCATCCCATTTTAAATCATCAAATAGTATATTCTAATCCCATTTAAAAACTGCTTTCAATAATAACAAACAAACCGACAACAATTTTCGTTCATAATAATAGCACGGTAAAACTAGTGGTTTCATGATATATATATATCTCACGTACCTGTATAGTAAATATATCTCCATATCTCTGGTATCTCGTATTTGGCTGTCGAATAAAAAATAATTACCTCATAAATAAGATTGTATCTATTCAATACCAATATGAAACGTTATTAAACATTCTATGACAAACTATGTAAACTTATAAACATTTACAGCTTTTTATATACTCTAAGCTATTTTAGACTTAATTGCCTCGATGGTAGAGTGGCTATCATACGGCTGCAGATCTAGTTATTGTGAGTTTCTGTTAAGAAATTCTCAGTAATAGCCTGCAGTTTGGAAGTTATCGATGTTTTAACTTTTACCCCCGTGCCTCAGGGAGTCAGGGAACAAGTATCGCCTACCAACGGTTGATCCCTCACCGCGAGACGTTTGTCGTTTCACTAAAGAATGAGAGTTTAATAGAGAGGGCATTTGTGTTCCTTCAAACAATGATAGGGCTGCTACGATATTGTAGTGCATCAGGCATGTTTGCTGAAGCACGTACATAAGCTTCAGTACAATCATGCGGAAGCGATGTGACTGCACAGTCAAGTAACTACCTTCAAGTATCGAAGAAAAACTGTTTGTCATTTTATTTAATTGAGTTCATAAATATAATTACCTGTTTATAAATACTTATTATTATTATTATTGCAATTTCATTAATACACGGAAGTAATTTACTGAAAACCACGCTGATATATCTCTTGTCCATGACTGTGTAAAAGATTTTGAAAAACTGACAATCACACTTTTTTTATTTGTAATTTTGACAATTTTAATCTCAAGTGAAACCAGGTCGGTTTGCTAGTTAATTTTTAAAATAGACTCCAGCATGAGAACAAAACGTCAGCCAGTGTAGAGATAATCTTGTTTATTTATTAGTTTCTACTCCCAGGTGCAATAACAGATGTAATTATTATAATGATATCGATCGAATTCGCAAAATGCAATGAAAGGTACATTTGAGCTAGTATTTATACTATAAAAGTTAAAACGACTTGCAAATATCCATATTTAGATATAAATAAAATATGGTACAATATAAAAGAGTTTCCAAAACAGATAGATCTGCCTAAACATACAATTTCATCAGCCCTCTGCTAGGCACGAGCCTCCTTTCAATGTGAGGTAAATCAGGCCATAATTTACGACGCTGGCCAAGTGTGGGTTGGCGGACTTCACATGTCTTTCGAAAACTTACTATGTAAAATTGATATAGGTGCATATATTACTAATGAGTATCCCTACTAATAATATAAATGAAAGCAAATCTGTCTGTCACTTTTTAACGCTTAAACCATTGATTAAAGGTTAATATTAAGGCATGATTTGCATCCTGAGGACGGACATAGTCCATCTTTGATCCCCGCCCCACTTACCACGCGAGTAAAGTCGCGGGTAAATACTATTAGTAAAAATACTGGTAACAATATTTCAAATAAAAGTATTATTATCAAATAATGTCTTTCTGAACATTTTCGGCCACGGAGGCTAATCTTACTGATACTAGCCACTCAGATGCGCAGGAGATATTGCAGCGAGTGTACGTGCAGACACAAGTGCACTCTCTATTCCTGTCACTCTCATACTTCGGTGGGACGACTGCTCGACACGACCGGTGAGAGTTAAGGCGCAGGACCGACGGCTTTACGTGCTCTCCGAGGCACGGGGGTGAAACACTGCCAACTTCCCAACTCCGGGCTGTTACTGAGAATTTCTGACAGAAATACTCAATAACTGACCTTGCCCGACCCGGGACTCGAACTGAGGACCTCCTAATCTGCGGCCGTACATACTAGCCACTAGACTACCGAGGCAGTTAACATGTGTTATTATCAAATATCACACGTTAATAACTAAAGTTTTTACTTTGTCAAGCTGCAAACAAAAAATGGCACTCCAATAATTTATTGCTTTGTGTCTTCCCAACATATGTATGTAAATGTCCCTCAAATTGTAGACATTTTTTTTAATTTGATGTGGGCTTAATTGGCAAGTTGATGACTTTTACGGGCTCACGGAGACTCACACGTTGAGGTCACGGGTTTGAGTTTCGTGTGGTATAAACATTTTATTGACAAAAAATAATTAAAAATACATTTTTGCGTATATTAATGTAGTGTAAAGAGTAAGCAACTTTTTTATGTCGTTATTAAAAAAACGGGTACTTTCTGTTACATCATACGATGTAGGTAAATAAATTTGCTGACATAATTTCAACATAGCCTACTATTGGCTTTTTAATAATTAATTATTTTACCCACATACATTTAAGTATAAACCTTATTTCTTTAAAATTAGCGTCCGTTTTAGAACTTGCTTATCTCCCCTTCGCAGCATCCCTAACTGAATTACGCGGATTTGATTTGTCATGTAGACCACGCCTATTTACTATAGGCAAAAGGGTCCTTCGAAAATTAAGATAATAATAAATATTTATATAGTAATATTTAAACCCTCTTCGACTAACAAGCATAATACTCTTTTACGGATACTCAATTTTAAAAATATAATAGACTAGCATTGCCCGCGGCTCCGCCCGCGTTTAAATGACCAAAAACCAAATGCTTAGGTTTTAAATATTAGTATACTCTTATATTGTAATTTTTGTAATTTTTTCAGAAATTAGAGATTTTCCCGCGGTAAAAAGTATCCTATATGTTGACCCGGATAACCAGCTATCACCATACCAAATTTCATCAAAATCCTTCGTGTAGTTTTCTTGTGATGCGATAACGGACAGACAGACAGACAAAAATTGTAAAAACTAGATTCGGCCTCTGTATCGTTAATAATGTTTATTTCAATAAGGTTTTCCAAAAAATATCTAATGTACAGATTCGGCTTAGTTACAATTTTATTATATGTATAGATATGATATAATACTATTTTACACATTCGACTCCTCATGCATGGATACAAAATAGTGGCTGTCAGTAACAAGCACTTTTAAAATTAGTTTCATACTTTACAAATCATCCACTACATTTGAACAAAATTTCTTTTAAAACACATCATAATAATTTAATTTTATATTAAAATACTAGCGACTCACCCTCGTTCCGCTCGGGTACGTGCCTAGTCACGTGTTTTATTTTGTATAGATTTTTCGGAGAATTTTTCAATTTCTCGGCTTTTTTGAACGTATAATATTCATGTATTATACATATAAACCTTCCTTTCGAATCACTCTATCTATTGCTGAAAACTGCATTAAAATCCGTTGAGTAGCTTAAAAGATCTAAGCGAAGAGACAGCGGAAGCGACTTCATTTTATACTATGTAAAGAATTGTACTTCGATGTTTTATATAATTTTTTTTTAATTGTTTTAGTGGTCATGCATAAGGAGAAGGAGGACCTACACACGCACAGGCGGGACCATACACACTACGAGCATATCATGCCTGATGGGGAAATGTTTCTGCAGGTAATATTAGGCCTTTCTAGACTACCTATTTACCTAGATATTGCTTTAATGAACTAGTTCCTGATTACTAATTAACAATATAAAAGCTACGGTACTGGTAGCCCAGTGGTGACGTAGTCGCTTGAGAAATCGTATAAAGCGGGTTCAAATCCCGGGTCTCGTCTCGCACCTGTGATATTTTCATGTGTGAATCATTTCCAACATGATTACCACTTGAAAAGTCCGCCAATCAACACTTGGCCAGTGTGCTGGACTATAGCCTGATCCCCCTCGTATTGAAGGGAGACCCGTGCCCAGCTATGGGACGTTAAAAATGGCTGATTACAATATAAAAGCTACATGAAATCGATAATATAATAAATAAATAATATAATAAAGTAATAATAAAATATAGAAAGCATGTAACCATCCTCTTTTATAGAAATTTTGGAGTGCAAAATAGAAATAAATAAAGCGCATATATTGAGCATTAAAAAATAATTAAATTAGTAACAAAGATGTTTTGTTTTTCATATTTATTAGTTCTATACGAATTATAGTCGTTAAAATAATATTTTTTTAAACAAACTGATTCTAAAACAAAGCTCTATTAATTATCCTACAGAAACTGTTTGAACCAATTTTCCTATAATACAATAAGTTAGAATCATACAATTGTTAACCATAGAAACTCAATGCTATCAAGAAAACACCATAACTGACAGCTATTATTTTTCTATTTTAAACGACTACGACCCCTGGTTAAAGGTATATAATTAATGTAAGAGCATTTAATCTAACTAGTTGTTAATATAAAAAAAATCATACAAATAAATTATTAATATATTTTTATTATACATTATCTAATAAACATTTTTTATCTTGTACTAGCCACTCATCCTCACTCCGCTCGGGTTCGTCCCTACTTACGTTTTAATGTTTAGTATAGATTTCTCAGAGATGAGTTACTTTCCCGCGGTAAAAAGTCCTATATGTTGACCCGGATAACCAGCTATCATCATATCAAATTTCATCAAAATCTGTCTAGGGGTTTTCTCGTGATGCGTTCCCAAACAATTGATAGACGAAAATTCTAAAAACTATAGATTCGGTCTCTGTATCGATAAGAATGACTACTACAATAAGATTTACCAAAAAATATTTTATATTGTATAGATTCGACTCAGAATTTTATTTAAAAATTAGCATTTAAACATGCATCTATCAGATTGTTCAACAAACACTATGTGTACAAAACGATCAAACTAAAAACAGTAGTAATAATTCCATCCATAAGTATTTTTATACGAACTTATTGGTATAATCACATAAATCGCGCTGTTTCGTTCAATAATAAATCAATAGCCTGTACTCTGTAGCTATAAATAACACAGCCTTAATATTTCATTGTACAGTGTTCGTTTCCATTGTAGCGCGGCAAGATTTTGTTATGAATATACCAAATGAAAAGTTAGTTTAGTATGAATGTCTATTAACGAATTAATTGATTGAATTAATTAATCAATTTAATTTAATATTTAATGATTATTAACTGATTTAACTATTTTAAATAAAACTATCTTTTCGGATTTTTTCGCGGATTTATTTGGATTTTTGGTTCCAACTAAGTGGTTCCAAATTTTTTTTATAGACGAGAAAAGGTACTAAGCTGTTTCGTCTACGCCTATTTTTTTTTTTATATACCAAAAAAACATATCAAATAGAAAACTGATACCTGATGTGTAGAAAGAATGACTTGTCTCTTTAAGAGATCTCTACCAGACATTCTCGAGCGTGAGAAAAAATAAAAATAATAATAAGGTGCGGTGTAACTACAAACTACGAACATCAATTATCAATTATTATATAAATACTAGCGGACCCGACAGACGTTGTCCTGTCTACACGTCTTTAATTTGAAAATTTCAAACTTTTTTTAATAACTTTATTGATGAAAATTATTATTTAAATTGTGAATCTAAACCATTCCCAGATCTCCTTGAACACACACAAAAAATTTCATCAAAATCGGTCCAGTCGTTTGAGAGAAGTTCAGTGACATACACACTCACAGAAGAATTATATATATAAAGATATACATATGCAAACATACATACATAATATACATACATACTTTAAGACGAAATACGAGTATACTTTATTATAGTTTAGGTATATAAAAGATACATAATATAATAATATAATTACATAACATACTAATATTAATTTGTTTCTATTATAGGCACTCAACGGCTTCTTGATGATTCTCACGTGTGAAGGAGAAGTATTCTTCGCGACACACAGCATCGAGAGCTACTTAGGCTTCCATCAGGTTTGTAAATTTCTCTTTAAAATACCATAAAAATCGTTATTTTTCCTTATAATAAATATTATGGTTTCGGAAACTAAAGAAGCTTTAGTAAGTTAACTCCAATTGAACTGCTTGAACACGAATAGCATAGGATACGTCGTTATGACAATAATGACGTTTGCTGAAAGTCTATGTATATTAAATAAATAAATAAATAAATATGTTGGGACATTAACACACAACACCATCTAGTTCCATGGTAAGCTATGAGGCTTGTGTTATGGATACCAGATAGTTGATATACTACACATATATACCTTTAAATACATACATATTATAAATATCAATAAACACCCATGACTGAAGTACAAACATCATGCTCATCACACAAATGAATGCCCCCAGCGGGACTCGAACCCGCGACCGCTGGCACAGAAAGTAGGGTCACTACAAACTGAGCCAAACGTGTCGTTAAATCGTATGTATATTGTATGCATTATTTTTACAAAATATAGTAAAGAAATTAATGTGAGAAAATGTGGACTTATATACCTAAGACTTTCAAATGATATTAAAAAAAATGTATACTTACCCATTTTTTGGCCCTGAAAATCTATTAATAATTTCTGTTAAAGAGATACGTAACATAAGCATAATCTACAATGATCAAAATCAATCAGCGACAAAAAATGTCCTCACCGAATAAGCGCTCATTTGAGCGCGCTTCTAATAAAAAAATATTTTTGTGAAAACTACTTTTAGCATTGCATTTAAGGTTTAATTTACATTATTGTATATTTATTTCAAGTAGGATAATTACCTAAACACAATATAGTGACAGTTTACAGAGAACCTTTGCATGAGATTGTGTATCGAGTACTTTTTTGATCGATGAAATAATGTAAAATATAAAGTAGATCTTACTTTTGTGACAAATCGTATAAGCTAAGGTTTTTGAAATTATCAAATTCGGTTTCTAAATAATACCTATTATAATTGATAATAAATATAGTCTTTGATTATATAATCTATACATATAATAAAATTGTAACTAAGCCGAATCTGTACATTAAATATTTTTTGAAAATCTTATTGAAATAAATATTATTTTCGATACAGAGACCGAATCTATAGTTTTTGGGGTTTTTTTGTCTGTCTGTCTGTTACCGCATCACAGAAAAACCACCAGAGGGATTTTGATGAAATTTGGTACGGTCATAGCTGGTTATGCAGGTCGACATATAGGATACTTTTTATTGTGGGAAAATATCTCATTTCTGAGAAATCTATACTAAACGTTAAAACGTAACTAGGGACGAACCCGAGCGGAGCGGGTGAGTCGCTAGTAGCGAATAATACAAAAACGTATTATAAACTATAATATGTTTCTTATTTTATGTATTCATTATAGAAATAAACACGTACAGTAAAAGTGCATAATTTATCACTTTTTTATCACATTTCAGTAATTAATTACGGACATTACGAAAAAAACGACCAACTTTCCATACAAACGTAAAGGCTATAATATTAATCATATAAAATATATGATACGCTTGAGGGTCGAATTTTCTACAATTAGGCCTATTCTATGTAAGGCTTGTTCTGCACTATAATACTCATAGTTATATCGGTTGGTCCATTAAACAGTCCATTTATTCGGTTCATTTAACTATTTGAATTAGTGATATTATATTATCTTTTTTAAAGATTTTGCTAAAATCTAATATTATAAAAAACTCAGGCTATTTTTGACAGGCATGAAGGTATATAAATACAATATATTTTTTTACAGAAATACTCTTTTGTTATACAATAAATGGTTTATATCAAAACAATGGCTCGTGAAGCAGGGCTAGTTATATGGACCTATACCAAGATTTTTTTTAATCATAAAGACTAAATTCTTTAAATATTATAATTTTGACTTTCATTTCCTTGTATGTTGTTATTGTTTCCATCTATTTTTAAAACTATTTCTGCATATTTATTCTAAAACTCATAATCTAAGTCTGACTACGACAGTGTGAATCAAGCCTAAAATTCGGGTGACTCTATAAAAGTATTAATTATCACGATAACTGGCCTTAAAAACTTTCTTTTATTAAACTACCCCGTTAATCGCAAAGCTTATCGCACACTAAAAGGGTCGTAAATGTAGATATTATTATTAATTTTAAAGGTTTTGCGACATTATTACGACGTAGTTAAGTCGTAAAATGGATGCGAACCCTATGGAAAAGAATTTTTTAATATTTTAATAAGCAAAAAGCTCCCTGTACTTTTGTTTGCTAGACGTATGTAAATGACAGTCTGTATTCACTGTTTTGACTGACTTCAAAAAGGAAGAGTACTCAATTTTTGTGTATTTTTTGTGTGTTATGTATGTAATATTTTCGCCTATTACGAATCGACTTTCCAATTTTCTTTTTAATAAATATGTATATACCTCAAGGGTAACACATAATTTAAAAAATTGGTATTCCTATTTTAAACATTGCTTGAGATTGCTTTATTAACTTAAAGTCAAATCATGTTAATATTTTAAAACAGGTAATATTTCAGCCAACTAGGGATTGGAAAATGAACTACATATTCTACAGATTCCAAACATATGAATGAATTTCTTTAAAAACGTTCATTGGTACGTCAATTTAGGGGTAAATATAATATTATTTTATTAGAATCAGTCTAATAATATTTAATTACAATATACATCTCGATAAAAAAGTACTAGATAAAAAATCAGCGACAAAAAATGTCCTCACTGAATGAGCGCTCGTTTGAACATTTGAGCGTGATGTTAAGTTATTTGTTTTTTGTGAAAACAACTTTAAGCATTGGATTTAAGATTCAATTTACAATTTATATTTATTTCAACGACAATAGAGCGAACGATTTTAAGAGAGCTTTTGTATGGAATTGTGTATCTAGTACTTTTTTGATGTATCCATACTATATTATTTGAAATGAGTATTATAAATGTGAAAGTATATTTGTTTGTGTGTATGTTTATCCTTTTAAGCGTTAAAACATACCTAAAAATAAACCCGAGCGAAGCGATAGTGAATCGCTAGTATTATTTATATACTCTAGCCCCCTGAGTTTCTTTCGTCAGCTCTCCTCAGGTCTCAGACTTTTCTTTACGAACTGGTAGTAGACTTTCAGTAAAAAACCATGCAAAGTAAAATTAAGACTTAGTATTTAATATTAATCAAATTCAAATTCTTATGTAAATTGTATTATGAACTAAATAATACTAAATAATAAAGTCCATTAATGCCAATAAAGTCGCATTGAAATATTGCCATCGAGAAAATGCTATTTCGGCACAAACCACCCCCTCAATAAAAGTATACAATCGTATATAAATTTTATTTCCACCGTCTGTTTCCAAATGAATCAAAAGTTATTTCTTTACTGTGCATTGATTAACCTTTGTTTTGTTATTATTTTGTTATTTCAACCCTCATTTATTAACCAAACTAACATAAGTTTTGGTTTTAGCTGTTTAATTTAGATAAAATTGTAAAATTTATATGAATTAAGTTTTAACGTTTAGTACAGATTTCTCAGAGATGAGATATTTTTCCGCAGTAAAAAGTATACTATATGTTGATCCGGATAACCAGCTATCTTCACGCCAAATTTCATTAAAATCTGTCCAATGATCTTCTTGTGATGCGATCAGAGACAGACAAAAATTCTAAAAACTATAGATTCGGCTTTTGTATCGATTATAATGATTATTTCAATAAGATTTTCCAAAAAAAAAATTTAATGTACAGATTCGACTCAGAATTTACTTTACAATTACTAGTTTAATTAGAAACATAACTTTCTTTTGGGCTTCGTCGCAGTCGGGTAAATAGAGGTGAATTAACTTTCTTTAATAAAATAAAAAGTCTGACTGCAAAATTACCCCAAAAGCAATTGTTGCACTATTTAGAGGAAATTGTTCTATATTTTTTATGGCAACCACTTCTAATTATAGACCACTAAAATATATGTATTTATATAAATTCAATTCACTTATTGTAAAAATATCATATTTACGAGAACTTTCTTCTTTTTTAAAATCGGTTAAAAGTACTCAAACTAAGCGATACCAAGTACAAGAATACTGAATTCCACAAATATTTAAATAATTAATTAATTTTTATACTTACATATTTCTAAGCTGAAATTATAAATCTAAGTAGAATTTTTTAAAGAACCTACGATCTTTGCCCTAAACTACAGATCCAATAAAAAATTATCACTATACCCAGATATATTATACAAATATATAGAAAACCTACTAATTCTAATCACTCACTATAGTGAGCGAGCGTTGTAACTTATAGTTATCAATGGAAATTTGTGGTAACAACCTGTATATCTAAAATCTTGCTTAAAATAGCAATAAACTATCGAGGGAGGGTCTCGATTAAGCATCGATTGGAGAACATTAAATCGGCGTGCAGCCCCGCGATGGTGGATGCCACGTGGCATTAAATGGTTTTTGGTTAAATTAAACTTTATTTTAACTATAACGTTAGTTACGGGTTCAGACAAGTTACTTTTGAACGTTGAAAAATTATACTTGTAGTTAAACTAGCCTAAAAATAATTTCTTCTCATATACACGCTTTACTGTATGAACAGAGAGTTTGGTAGCTATTTTGTTTTCTTCATTTTCCGTCTGCATTCAATTCGGAAAATATAATCATTTATAGCTTAGGTTTTGAACCTACAACCTTTGACGAGTTACGATAATCACAATAAGTATTATTACTTTAATAATAAACATACATCTACTGTGGATAATAATCATAAATTAAAAAAACACGTGTATGATTAACTATATTGTATGGGAGTAAAAGAATTGAAATGCTCTCTAACTTAAAGATTTTTCTTATTACCCTTGAGCAGTTCCAATATAAGTATGTATATATGTAGTACACTTCCCGACTCTCAACATACTCGTATTATAATCGGCTCGAAACTATCAAAACAAATATATTTTAAGCCAGAATACGTGCACTAATAAAATCAAATCATATCGTTATAGACTATTAAAAGCATGTAAAAATTAACTTTAGATTAGACTTATGGTGACAATATAATTGGTTAGAAATAAAGATAATAAAATCATGATAATTTAGAGTACGTACAAATATTTTTTGAGAATTAGGACAAAGTTTTAACTACAATTCGATGGTAATGATAATATGATATCGTATAAGTTAAAAATACGTCTGATAATATTATTTCTATATATATTCTATATCTATACTTCACTCGTATCTACATAAATATGCAATAAAACGATAAAATTCAACGAATTATAAATTACGAATGGTCTTATTAAAGGAAATTCAGCAACCATTCTAAAATGAGTCAACCTAAATAGCGCCCTCTGCTAATTATAGTCCGATTTAAAAATTATAATAACGCACAGCCCCCAGCCGTAGGGTCGAGTAGATTAACTTAGAACCGTCTCACCAGGTGGCTTGCTTCGTTCGATCCATTAAGTTAATATAACATGTGCCTCCCCAAATCTATACGGTTCCAGGTGAAATAATTCAATTACAATAAATAAGGTTACAATATTTTTAAATACTTGTTTGGTTGCTTTGTTTTATGTTAGATTTAAAGAGGGATATTTGTTATAGTTATTAAGAGTTTATCTATTATGCCTTTTCATTTTGCTTATTGAAAATTGATGCTGGAAAATTTTAGAACTTTACTTTTATGATTATGTTTATCTAAAATATATCGTAATACTAGTGGTTTACTCTTGCTTCACTTGGATACATCCTTAACTGGCTATCTGTTATTTTGTTGTTTATCTCAAATGTTACTCTAGGTCATAGTTTATTTTACTAAATTCCGTCCAACTGTTTTAGAACAAACATACATACTCACATACACATACATATATGTATACATACACAAACAAACACAAACATTCGCAATTATAACAAGTACTCTGACATTTATTAGCAAATTTCAATATTTTTGTATTTTTTATTGGAAAAATGCTATGTATTTTAGTAATGAAATGTAATATAAATCCTATACCATTTCTTGTAAACGAATAATTCTGAACGCAAGACTATCATCAATCACCAAAAACATAACTAAGTAAAAACTGGTCAAAACAATCGCGTATCAACAAAACACTGCGGCTCCATAGCAACTACCCCTGAACGAGGAACAAAAAGCAATTACGAAACAAATCATCCTCTGACATTTAATGCCATCGCAATATGTTCGAACCCACATTCGGCAACTGGAACCCCATTTTTACGTTCATAAAACTCAGGGTATATTTTTCTACGTGTATGAATCATTAACATGTTATTCCAAAAGTAGGGGACCCAGAGTGGTGCCTAGCGCAACCCCATTGATTATCAATTAGTTTTCTGCTTGCATCGTTTATTGTCGGCGCATTATCCACACTATTTACACGACTCTTTGTTATACGACGTGTTAAAATTCATAATTTTATCTCTCCAATGAAAAATCGACTGTATTTTAGATGGTTAAAGCCGAAAATAGTATTCGATTGCTACAAAATTAACATGTCCGTCTTCGTAACAGATGATTCTTTAATGATCGGTTTCGAATCGATTTTAGGGCCATCGATGGTTTATTGATTTACGGTTCAATTGTGACTTGCTCTTTTTACATCGATGAATAGATTTAGCTAGTTATCAAATCATTATCTTGTTATTCTTTATTAATAGTTTTGATTATCTTGATTATAAATATTGTTCATACTTATGTTTGTATATCTATACTATTAGTAATAGTTATAGTAAAATATTATTGAAAATGTCATTGTAAAATTTCTAACATGATTACCACTGTCTTACGGTGAAGGAAAACATCGTGAAGAAACCTATATGTCTGATAAAACTTAGCAAGTTTTCTAAAGATATGTGCAATCCGCCAATCCGCACTTAGCCAGCTTGGTGGACTATGGCCCGATACCCCCTCGTATTGAAGGGAAAGCCGTGCTTAGCAGTGGGACGTTAAAAAGGGCCGAATGGAGAATTATATACAATATATTTATTTATTAAGGATTCACAAGATGACTTTATAAGACAGTTTCATGATAAATGAAACTATAACATTAAATGTTACATTTAAAAAGAAAGCTTATTTTTATGTAAATACACCTGTTATGTAATTTTTGAAATATTTCAAGTCTCTAAAGACTATATCTAATAAATCGCAACTATATTTTTTTCTATATAAGTTTAAAAATACAATTATTTTTTTTACTTTCATTTGAAGATATGCAATAGATATAATATGTTAACGAGATATTTATTTGAGAATATTTTTCGGTTCCAGTCAGATATAGTCCATCAATCAGTGTACGAGCTCGTACATTCAGAAGATCGGGAGGAACTTCAGAGGCAGTTGTTATGGAACTCCTTCTTACCTCCAGATGTCAATAACTTAACACTACAAGATGTGCTGAGATCTGAAAGGGCGCATCTCCTAGAAAGAAGTTTTACAGTTCGATTTAGATGTTTATTAGATAATACTTCGGGGTTTTTGGTAAGTGGTTGTAGTACTATCTAAATTGAAAATTGCTGGTGAAAAAATTAAATGACACAGAATATGTATAGTTATGATGTATTCACAGGTTCATTGTGATTTAATATCATAAAACCCTCTTTGGCTTATAAATTCCAAATAACTTTACTATTATTATTTAAGAATTTTGAGTAAAAAATAATACAGTTTTTACTTATTGATAATAAATACAGTAAAGATTTTTTTAGTCAACTTGTAAATATTAACATAACACAAAATTTCTTTTTATTTTTTTTGTAGAGGTTAGATATCAGAGGTAGAATAAAAGTGCTACATGGGCAGAATAAGAAAACAGAAGATCCACCACTCGCGCTCTTCGCAATATGCGCGCCATTCGGCCCTCCAAGCCTCTTAGAGATACCACAGAAGGAAGTCATGTTCAAAAGCAAACACAAACTTGATCTGTCTTTAGTTTCAATGGACCAAAGGTAATTATTAACATAATAATTAATTGTAACAATACTACCTAATATTTGTCGTTTTAAATAAAACGGTCTTTAACAGTGATCATGATCGCTGTAAACATCGAGAACTATAAAAATCAAAATAAATCTGCCAAAAAATCTGAAAAGGTTTACTGAAGAAACAGTACAACCTTTAAAAATAATCAAATTTGTAAAAAATTCATCAATAGACAACATCAATGTCACTCTCAGAAATAAAAATCTCTATAAAATTTAAAAGCAGTATTACAAAATATGTATATACTCGGCTCCTTGTTTTTGTACACTTTTTGTTGAAAATTATTTGTTTTATATTGTTTTAATTTACCTTAACCTGTAATCGAACCAAAGACATCTTCAATAAGAGCACACCCCTGCTCAAAACCCGTGATTTTTTATAGCTTACAAATATTACAAATATTCCCGCGTCGGTGTGCTTATCCCTTTTAAACCAGTCATTAAAACCGATAACTATCAATAAATTCATTTGTTACGCCGTACGTTTATCAATTATACATTTTGTATGGAACATGGGATTTTTTCATTCCATATCCGCATTGTTCTTAAGGATAGAGCTCATGGTTTTATTTTTATAATTTAAGGCTTAAAATTAAAAGCAAGCCCATAGATTCATGTGAACCATATTTTTATGGAGAATTCTGTTAGAATAATACGAAAATGTAAAAACCAATAAAAGACCGATTGAACATAAAATAATGGAATAGTTGATGTTTTTAGTTTTTATAATGACTCAGATTGTATTTTAGACATACAAGCTTTTATATGAACTAATTTTATTTTTTATGAACAGCTTCAGTCAATATTATAACAAATTCTGCTAACTAAATGAATAAATCATAATAATTTTTTAATTTTTAAATGTTTTAAGATAGCATTGTACTATTACGACTAAGAAATATTCTAGAAAAATTATTAAAAATGTTAATTATTGTATTTCCAGGGGTAAAATGCTGCTAGGCTACACGGACGCAGAACTAGCTAACATGGGTGGTTACGACCTAGTGCATTACGACGACCTGGCGTACGTCGCAAGCGCCCACCAAGAATGTAAGTATTGAAATGTAATTAATTATTATTAATTTGTACTTATTTATAAGTTTCTATATCTATAAATTAGGGGCCTTTTAACGCGCTATCGAACGTGCAATACGAACCATAAGTAAACTACAATTTTTCAGTATACCAGCGCAGAATATGCAGTATAGGTACGAGTAGGTGCGAGTATAATTATGACATGCGCGTCGACACTCTAAGAAAGCGTGGTGTGCATAGGCTTTAGATGAACCGGGATAAAGAGTAGCTTATGTTACACTCCGTCTTATAAACAGGCTATATGCGATCAAATCTATTTATTGCTATGTTGTCATGTAAAAAGAAAAAAAATATTATTAAGACGATTAACGATATCGGGGGGCACGGAGTGCCCCCGCCAAGTCGAGCAAAAAAGGGCACGACAGTACCATCCTTTTCTCGAAGCGATTCAGAGCATTTTCCACCCCCCCATAACTTCGTTATGGATAAAGCTAGAAGCCTGAATTTTCAGTGACTAAAAGAACATAATAAAACTAGGCATATTTCCAAATTACATTCAATTTGAACCTGTAGTTTAAGAACTGTTGCAGATCAAAATTCGTTAATATCGTCACGCATACACTCACTCACTCACTCACCGATCATCAAAATTCTAAGGTACTTCTAGCAGACATAGGAGCTTCAAATTTTGAACACAATTAGTGTTTAGCCTATAACGGAAGGAAAAACTCAAACATCATGCAATTTCAATCCTGTTTTCGAGTTATACAAACTGCATAAGTAACTTTGTATTCCTATACAAATAGATATGCGATATATGGGATTACAAAGTTATTTTTGCAGTTCATACATATCATTTTTCGTCACTTAAACTACCCAAATGTATAGCAGGGTAAATAGTGGATATACTGTAAGTGTTAGCGACGACTAAAATGTAATTATCAATATTGTAAAGAGTTTTAAGAAATAATATATTTAATATATAAATTAAAACTTATATGTATAAAAGATCTTAAATATAAAAAAAAATATACAAGTAATCGAACACTCGTGTGTTCCGTAGCGAGAGTCGCCCGGAGGAATTCGGGTGGTATCCGTAATAGGATTTCCCAACTATAAATAAAAGTACAGAGCCCTCGGAGCGTTAGTTTGTCTTCTACTTGACTAATACATACAATATGTATTTATCAATATTTAGTTTAGTCATGTTAAAAAAACACAGGAATAACTCATATATTATTTTATTAACTTAAATATCCAACTTAAAATATATCTTTCTCAGAGTTCCGTTTGTTATCACTAAGTATTTAATTTGTTAGTCAATTCCTCCACTTTAACGACGTCAAGGAACGCTAGAAGGTTTAGGTATTTTTTTAAATAATAGGTCACAATAAAATAGCACATAATATAAATCCCATCAAAAACATTCTGTAAAAAAATTGCAAGTCTCGCAACGCATTTCTTCTACCGCAAAAAGCTATGAGATGTAATGTAAAACCAAGTCGGTTAATTTATTCATTACCTATCTATGGAAGCATCTATCCGACAACTTTGTCATAAATCGTTACCGAATTAGTTAAGTTACAACATTTTATAGTGACCGTATTAATATTAGATATATTGATTTCTTTAATTAATAGAATGACTTGGCCATCGCACATGATAATAGAACCTACAAATAACAAAATTTACCTCATACTAGCGTTCTAAGTGCATTATTTATGTTAGTGTATGCATACATTTGACCCGCTAGTGCTATGTTCAGTTCATCTCAGCCCAAACACGTCCACAGCTGGACATAGGCCTCCCCCAAAAATTTCCACGACAATCAGTCTTGTGCCATCCGCATCCAGTGGGCTCCAGCGTCTTTGACCAACTCGTCCGTCCACCTTGGTCATGGTATGTTTAATTAGGACTTTTTAATTAAAGTAGTAGACTCTTATGTGATTATGTTTCCGTGCGATGGCCAAGTCATTCTATTAATTAAAGAAATAAATATATCTAATATTAATACGGTCACTATAAAATGTTGTAACTTAACTAATTCGGTAACGATTTATGACAAAGTTGTCGGATAGATGCTTCCATAGATAGGTAATGAACAAATTAACCGACTTGGTTTTACATTACATCTCATAGCTTTTTGCGGTAGAAGAAATGCGTTGCGAGACTTGCAATTTTTTTACAGAATGTTTTTGATGGGATCTCATTTCTTTTTGTAAATATTTCTTCTTTTTCTCTTTTCTTGTACTATTTCTTGTGTGTCAGCTAAGGACTTTTTAAAAGCCCACTCCTTGTTTCTGTGGGCTTTTTTCAGAGGCTTTGATATAGGTAACAAATTTTGACAAGTCTGGATGATAAAAAATCTAAGCCTATTGTATTGGGAAATTACGGACTCCTGGACTTTAATACTACTATCTTATGCATCAAGTATAAATATGTATAGTTAATTTAACGAATATTTTAATTTCATTGTTGACCCTAAATACCTACCCCGATACTGATATTCGACTCACATAAGTTTAATAAGACGTGTAGATTTATGTGTCTATCTGCAGCATCGTAGTTAAATCCCGAAAGTTGTATTCCATTCCATTTTAAAAGTAATTTTCGAAGAGATTGATATTTCATGACCTCTATATTCCATGTTCTAATAGGTGGGTACAATTACGAGCAATGAGATGTTGACAAGGTTTTCTAATTCATATCAACATCATACTTTGTAAAAGAAAATGTGCGAGCTTTGTTTCAAAATTAAGTAATCGTCAAGTTGTTTCTTAATTAGGTATATATTTTAATCAATTCATTATAAATAACAGTAATCGAATATTAGTAGGTATAAACTATACACGCTTCACATTACATTTATGTACCTATTTGTATATGCATAAAAATGTATACAGCTACTAAAAGAGCTTAAAATATTATTTTCGCATTTAAAAAATACTTTTCTAATACATATAATTGCAAATATAAACATTAATAAATAGACCAATCGAAATTAGTTAGTAATTACGAGGGAACATAGGATCGGACGTACAAACATACATACCTACAGGTAAAACACTAACCGGGTGAGGTTAGACCTTTTACAGTGCAACTATTGTATAATTAATTTACCATTAATTATAAATTTTATAAGAATATATGAAAGAGGTGAAAAAATAAAAGTAAGATATCGGGAAATGAAAAAATAATATTTAATTTCAATAATGGAAGGAAAAAATTGTGTAAATTTAAATAAAATATTTTATGATTTTTAAACGAAATTAATATTTGACATAACGGCACAAATTAAGGCAAGCTATGATGAAGTTTATTTATGTCAAAATATTTATATTATGTGCTATTTTATTGTGACCTACTACTTTAAAAAATACCTAAACCTTCCTTGCCTAAACGTTCCTTGACGTCGTTAAAGTTGAGAAATTGACTAACAAATTAAATATTTAATGATGACAAACGGAACTCTGAGAAAGATATATTTTAAGTTGGATATTTAAGTTAATAAAATAATATATGAGTTCTTCCTGTGTTTTTTTAACATGACTAAACTAAATATTGATAAATACATATTGTATGTATTAGTCAAGTAGAAGTCGAACTAACGCTCCGAGGGCTCTGTACTTTTTTTTCTTTTTTTTATAGTTGGGAAATCCTATTACGGATACCACCCGACTTCCCCCGGGCGACTCTCGGTACGGAACACACGAGTGTTCGATTACTTGTATATTTTTTTTATATTTAAGATCTTTTATACATATAAGTTTTAATTTATATATTAAATATATTATTTCTTAAAACTATTTACAATATTGATAATTACATTTTAGTCGTCGCTAAAACTTACAGTATATCCACTATTTACCCAGCTATACATTTGGGTAGTTTAAGTGACGAAATATGTATGAACTGCAAAAATAACTTTGTAATCCCATATATCGCATATCTATTTGTATAGGAATACAAAGTTACTTATGCAGTTTGTATATCTCGAAAACAGGATTGAAATTGCATGATGTTTGAGTTTTTCCTTGCGTTATAGGCTAATCACTAATTGTGTTCAAAATTTGAAGCTCCTATGTCTGCTAGAAGTACCTTAGAATTTTGATGATCGGTGAGTGAGTGAGTGTGTGAGTGACGATATTAACGAATTTTGATCTGCAACAGTTCTTAAACTACAGGTTCAAATTCATTGTAATTTGCAAATATGCCTAGTTTGATTATGTTCTTTTAGTCACTGAAAATTCAGGCTTCTAGCTTTATCCATAACGAAGTTATGGGGGGGTGGAAAATGCTCTGAATCGCTTCGAGAAAAGGATGGTACTGTCGTGCCCTTTTTTGCTCGACTTGGCGGGGGCACTCCGTGCCCCCCGATAAACTTCATCATAGCTTGCCTTAATTTGTGCCGTTATGTCAAATATAAATTTCGTTTAAAAATCATAAAATATTTTAATTAAAAATACACTATTTTTTCCTTACATTATTTAAATTAAATATTATTTTTTCATTTCCCGATATCTTACTTTTATTTATTCATATATTCTTATAAAATTTATAATTAATGGTAAATTAATTATACAATAGTTGCACTGTAAAAGGGGGTTAGGTTAGTGTTTTACCTGTAGGTATGTATGTTTGTACGTCCGATCCTATGTTCCCTCGTAATTACTAACCTAATTTCGATTGGTATATTTATTAATGTTTATATTTGCAATTATATGTATTAGAAAAGTATTTTTAAACGCGAAAATAATATTTTAAGCTTTTTTAGTAGCTGTATACATTTTTATGCATATACAAATGGGTACATAAATGTAATGTGAAGCGTGTATAGTTTATACCTACTAATATTCGATTACTGTTATTTATAATGAATTGATTAAAATATATACCTAATTAAGAAACAACTTGACGATTACTTAATTTTGAAACAAAGCTCGTACATTTTCTTTTACAAAGTATGATGTTGATATGAATTAGAAAACCTTCTCAACATCTCATTTCATTGCCCGTAACTGTGCCCACCTATTAGAACATGGAATATAGAGGTCATGAAATATCAATCTCTTCGAAAATTACTTTTAAAATGGAATGGAATACAACTTTCGGGATTTAACTACGATGCTGCAGATAGACACATAAATCTATACATCTTATTAAACTTATGTAAGTCGAATATCAGTATCGGGGTAGGTATTTAGGGTCAACAATGAAATTTAAATATTCGTTAAATTAACTATACATATTTATTCTTAATGCATAAGATAGTAGTATTTAAAGTCCAGGAGTCCGTAATTTCCCAATACAATAGACTTAGATTTTTTATCATCCAGACTTGTCAAAATTTGTTACCTATATCAAAGCCTCTGAAAAAAGCCCACAGAGACAAGGAGTGGGCTTTTAAAAAGTCCTTAGCTGACACACAAGAAATAGTACAAGAAAACAGAAAAAGAAGAAATATTTACAAAAAGAAATGAGATCCCATCAAAAACATTCTGTAAAAATATTGCAAGTCTCGCAACGCATTTCTTCTACCTCAAAAAGCTATGAGATGTAATGTAAAACCAAGTCGGTTAATTTATTCATTACCTATCTATGAAAGCAACTATCCGACAACTTTGTCATAAATCGTTACCGAATTAGTTAAGTTACAACATTTTATAGCGACCGTATTAATATTAGATATATTTATTTCTTTAATTAATAGAATGACTTGGCCATCGCACATCATAATAGAATCTACAAATAACAAAATTTACCTAAAATTAGCGTTCTGAGTGCATTATTTATGTTAGTGTATGCATAAATTTGACCCGCTAGTGCTATGTTCAGTTCATCTCAGCCCAAACACACACACAGCTGGACATAGGCCTCTCCCAAAAAGTTCCACGACAACCAGTCTTGTGCCATCCGCATCTAGTGGGCTCCAGCGACTTTGACCAAGTCGTCCGTCCACCTCGGTCATGATATGTTTAATTAGGGCTATTTAAAGTTGTAGACTCTTATGTGATTATGTTTCCGTGCGATGGCCAAGTCATTCTATTAATTAAAGAAATAAATATATCTAATATTAATACGGTCACTATAAAATGTTGTAACTTAACTAATTCGGTAACGATTTATGACAAAGTTGTCGGATAGTTGCTTTCATAGATAGGTAATGAATAAATTAACCGACTTGGTTTTACATTACATCTCATAGCTTTTTGAGGTAGAAGAAATGCGTTGCGAGACTTGCAATATTTTTACAGAATGTTTTTGATGGGATGAATTTTTCCCTGAGCCAAGTTTTCTATAACGATATCGCTAATCTACACATATAATAAAATTGTAACTAAGTCGAATCTGTACATTAAATATTTTTTGAAAAATCTAATTGAAATAGACATTATTATCGATACAGAGTCCGATTGTATAGTTTTAAGAATTTTTGTCTGTCTGTCTGTCTGTTACTGCATTACGAGAAAACCACTGAACAGGTTTTGATGCAATTTGGTACGATGATAGCTGGTTATCCGGGTCAACATATAGGATACTTTTTACCTCGGTAAAATATCTCATTTCTGAGAAAAAATACAAAAACTGCATTGTAAGAGTATACTAATATGTAAAACCTAAGAATTTGGTTTTTGGTCATCTGGACGATGGAGAAGCCGCGGGCAATGCTAGTGGAAATATAAATTAGGTAAAAAGATGACACTTTGTAACTAAATTATTTTAGCTATAATGATAATGTAATAATCAATACTGAGATAGACCCGTACTCACATCTTATTTTTCCATGAACGATAACCGCATAAGAGATTTTTTTTGTCTTAAAGCAGTGACATAATAATGAATATTATCCAGATGAATATACTGACCCTTCTATATATCCTATACTATACTATATTCTATATATACCTTTATCGTAAATCCTTTTTCAGCTCGAATTCAATACTATTCTTGATTATTTCTATTATTATTTACAGTATTAAAAACTGGGGCATCAGGGATGATCGCGTATCGCTTCCAAACAAAGGACGGGCAGTGGCAGTGGCTTCAAACCTCATCGAGACTCGTGTATAAAAACTCAAAGCCCGACTTTGTAATCAGCACTCACAGACCTCTCATGTAAGTTCTGAAGAATTATCGTTTACTATATAATAAAAAAACAATTAAAAAAAATCATTTCTTAACTATATATTTTTAAGACTATATCTTCCAGAACATTCTTTTAGTATATTTCTCTCTATCTTCATTTTATAATAATGCAATAAATAAAGCTTCTACCTACAACAAAATTATCAACTTTTTACATTTCACTATGATTATTATTAATTTAATAACGATCTAGTACTTCTTTCATTTACAGGGAAGAAGAGGGGCGAGATCTCCTCGGAAAACGCACCATGGATTTCAAAGTCAGCTACCTTGACACTGGCCTGACCAGTCTGTACTTCTCCGAAACGGAACAACTGTCTTGCGACTCCAATGCCGCTCCTCCTCGAGCCGCTCGTCGGTACAAGACTCAGCTACGAGATTTCCTATCCACATGTCGGAATAAACGACGTGTACCCCCCACCCCTGCTCCTCCCCCAGTCGACTATATACCAGCTGATGCTGTAGCAGCAGCGTACACTAATCTCAATGGAGCGTACACTGCGCCCTACGGGGAATACCCTCCAACCCCTGCGTTACATTACGCCCCTCCCTTAGACGATCGATTCCTAACGACCGATAATCTCTTCCAATACAAGCCCTTATCCTACCACTATACTTACCCCCCAAATGGTTTCCTCGAACCCGCTCCACCGGGATACGAAGTACCCCCTTATCATAGACCTCCATCCCGGGAATATACGTATGTGGACAGTAGATACATGAGTCCGGTAGCAGAGAGGAGGTCTCCAAGTGTGGTTGGGCCTAGTCCAGCTGGGTCGAGTGGGTCGGCTGAACAGGATAGGATGCAGGCAGAGATGCCGCGGCAGACGGTCCTTATGTGGGGCGCGGGAGGGACAGCGCAGGAGGTCCCCGTGGAGTACTCTCCCCCACAGGTTTGGAGATACCCCTCCCACTACCACACTGCTGAAGCGACTCAATGAACGTAGAATATAGATTTTTGTGCAATATCGTACCGAATGATATCGCATGTGATGTAACTACTATATTTATTTATCATGTACCCTATTTTTACCATGTCCTATTTTTTACCATATATGAAAAAAGTTGTATTTTCCAATAAAAGTTTTAAATAAGAATTTAATGCAATTTTTACCACTTATAAAAAATAATAGTATTTATTTATCAAAATTGTATGCAGAAAATAAAAAAATAAAATATGTTTGTTTTATTAGTAGTTTGTTTACTTGCGATATCATTCTCATGATACGAAAAGTCCGCTAGTTCAGGACTCAGGGCGTTAACATACCGCCACCAAAGACGATCGCCCTTCCAATCCGAATTTGTTTTTTTAATAATTTACTATATAATTATCATTGAAAAGGATTCTCGTCCTTCGCACACTTTCAAATTTTAACTGCACCATTCGATGCAGCTTAACGTTTTCGTTAAATAAATGTTTATTATCAACGATGCCTCGCTCAATGATTTCATGTCTTTATAAGTTATTTTTATGAGAAATTATGGTAAATAAGAAAAAACCGAATGCCAGTGCTAATTTTTTAAGTAAAATCTTTCACATATTCTTTATATTGAATTTAACAAACCGTATCAGGGTATTTCTCCGAGATTGCGTTCTTCGTCTGATATATCTGGCCAAAAATTATTTTCATTTTTTTTCTGGCCAAAAATGAAAATAATTTTTGGCCAGATTAATCAGACGAAGAACGCAATCTCGGAGAAATACCCATCAACGATGTAGTAATTAAGTATGATTTTAATAATAAGATTTAATAGTTTCTCATGAAAATAATTAATCTTTCAAACGAACTTCCATTACGAACTGTATATAATTTCGTGTATAATAAAGTGAAATATCCAAAAATAATAAAATAAAATAGTTTAAATAAGCTTATCATTTACACGCAATAAGTTGGGTGTGATGTAAATATTTATTTTAATTTTAGTGAGCTTAAGCTTGGTTTTCGAGTCTGGTTCGTGATTGCTTATACATTTTTATATTGAAAGTAAACGAAGGATATCGACTGGATAATGTACTATTAGGAGAATTCTCGACCATTTTGCAATAAAATTTTGTTTCAAATTATGAAAAAAAAACATTTTTATTAGTTATTTTATTTATAAAACATTATTAGAACTGTGAAAGTAGCTAAAATTAACTACTATACGTCAGTTGTTGTTCTTCGTTTTCTTGTATGAAAAAATGAATCATTTTAAATATTAGTGTAAAGAGTAAACATATCAATATTGTAATAGCATGCATTATATAATTTACACTTGGATACATTTGTCCCTATAAATAATAAACTTTATAAAACTTTGATTATTCATAAAGAAACATTTATAATAACAAAAAAAATACTACTTTTCATAATTTGTCGTAAAAATAAATACATTTAGTTCACATATTTCAAATAAGTACCTCTATACTTATAAAAGTTTTAGCAACATATAAATATAGGTAATATTTCATATCTATATCTATATCTATATCTATATCTATATCTATATCTATATATATATAAATGAATCCCTATATTTTATTTCATATCTATATCTATATATAAATACATTTCATATCTATATATATATATATATATATATATATATATATATATATATATATATATATATAAATGAATCCCTATTTCCCTTGGTCACGCCATCACGCGTGAACGGCTGAACCGATTTAACTAATTTTTTTGTTGTGTTTGTTATTGTCAGGAGAAGGTTGTTATGAAAGAAAAAATTGAAAAATTAACGAAAAAAAATATTAAAATGTATATGGCTAACGCTGGCTAATAACTATTTATATATATTTAAAACGTACCTAGCGACGAACCTGAGCGAAGCGAGGGTGAGTCGCTAGTCTCTCTAATAAATATTACCTGATAGATAATCAAATCCGCAACTGAAGTATGTACTCAATAAGTAGGTACTACAATTAGCAATTTAATTAAAGCAAAAAAAAGTATTTTTTTATTATAACTGACTAAATATTACATTTGAAAATTTCATATTTGAATATTAAAAGTTTAATATTTATAGGGACGATACACACTGCCATGCCAACGCGATCTAGCACCTGTATATACACAGTCGCGTGCCTTTCCCATAGTGTAGACTAACTTATATCATTGTGCTTCAGTGAGCGGTTGGCAGGGCATCGCGTCGAACGATCTTCCGACGTCGGTAGATTAAGATTAGTTAAGGTTTTATTGTTCGAAGAGCACTTTTTGGAATAATATCAATTATATCGAAAATAATTACTTTCGGAAACTTTGGAAACTTTTCCAAGAAAGTTATTTCTTGTGGAAAAATTTAAACTGAAAGAGTTGTTTTACAGTATTTCATTTTGTTCTAATATTTAACAGTGATAGACTGGAAATAAAATATATGTATATAATATGTTGTAATACATATTTTTGTAAGATTTACCAACTTTGAAAAAAGTAGTTACATATTATTTAATGTCATTGATATATAAAATTTCCTAATAAATATCTCTTCAAAAAGTGGCGTCCACACGTGACGTTAAGTCAAACCAAAGAATAAAATTCAAAGTTCTATTTGTCTAAACACAAATTCGAACTTATGCACACCACATAAAGTACATTTTTAAACCAAACAACGTGCGTTTGAAAAAACTGCATAATTTCGAATTATGTTCATCTTTTCGAAGACACTCTGAGAAACTAATTGTATATCTCGAGTTTTTATATATCAATGTTTAATATATAATTATTTTTGGTAAATATTTTTTTTATAATAAACTCAAATGAATGCCAATCAGATCACAGTGCTCTTCGTAATAAAATTTCGTCTTCGCATTGTATATTAGGAATTGTATTGTCCATACATACGGGTTAACCGATTAGTTTTTTATAATAAATCGAGTCATTTAAGCGAATTTATCTTCCACTGCGAGTTCCATTGAAAAATTATTTATAAATTTGACCTATCGTAGCAATAAGGTGCATAAAGTTTGAAACACTTGTTCACACCAAAATAAAGAACCTTTGTTATAATGCTAGGTCCTTATTTATATATTTCTATCAGAACTTATAAGGCACGTTTTAAAATCGCAATATATTCCTCTCGTGTGGACCTAGCCTTATGTTGTCACAGAGCAATGAATTCAAAACGAAATGTTAAAACTCTCCACATTTTTTAACACAGTTTTTTATATTTATAACGAGTTTCACTTAAACTTTGAATTTGTAAATAAATAATTAGGTTAGATGCTTTAACTATTATTATATATACTATTGATTGATTAATCGTAATTATTTAATTGAATATATAGTTAAGGTGAAGATATCGAGACAGTCTCTGTATTTATTTTAGTATAGCATAATTATGTAATTAAAAGAAAATCAAATAAATTTTTTCATGCCACTGATATTTTTGAGTTTTTTTTCTTTTTTCATTAGTTTTAAGCAATCTTTGCTAATGATAATTTATCCTTTCACGGGGATATTGTTAAGCTACTTCATAAAATTATATGTGGAATATTTTAAAAAGTACTTTAGAGCCAGATATTTAATTTAACTATGTAGATGTAGATTGTGGGTACAAGGTTGTTTAAATATCATACCTATAGTCGGTACTTAATTAAGGTACCTCGACTATCTTTAAGCTATCCATACTAATACTAATATTATAAATGTGAAAGTGTGTTTGTTTGTTTGTTTGTTTGTTTGTTTGTTTGTTCTTCTTTTACGTCGAAACGGAGTGACGGGTTGGCGTGATTTTTTGTGTGGAGATAGTTAGAGGACTGGAGACATAGGCTACTTTATACCGCGGGAGGTTTGCTAATTGCCACAGGAAACCACGTTATAATGCAATCCAAAAAAATATTTATTATCAAAATTACTTGAAACTTGATATTAATGCCTTAAATAAAATTAAATAAATATGTGTCTTAGCATTTTTCGAAATTCATGATATTATGATACAAGTTTCTATGAAACTACCTTTATTGAGATTTTTTGTAGTTTTAGCGCGAGCGAAGCCGCGGGTTCTGCTAGTACATATTTACATACATACATACATACATACATACAAACATACATACATACATACATACAAACATACATACATACATACATACAAACATACATACATACATAATTATTATAATAACAAAAATCTGAACAATAGCTAATATCAATATTTAATTTATGCTATAATCGAATCAGCTTACGTTTAAACATATTAGTAAAACACAATATGCTCTACTTTGCCGTCTCTATGAAAACGTCGTTCTAAGAAGAGAGTCTGAATATATATATTTTTTAAATATTCCTGAGAATAATAACTTGAATAAAACTTCAACTGCAATATAAGCGATTAAATTACCAACTTTCAACAACTTAAATAAAAATTTATAAAAATTTTTAGTATATTATAGTAGGTATACTAGCATTGCTCGCGGCTCCGGCCGCGTTCAGATGATCAAAAACCAAATTTTTAGGTTTTACATATTAGTATACTCTTACCATGCAGTTTTTGTATTTTTTCTCAGAAATGAGATATTTTCCCGCGATAAAAAGTATCCTATATATTGACCCGGATAACCAGCTACCAGCATACCAAATTTCATCAAAATCCCTCCAGTGGTTTTTCTGTGATGCGGTAACAGACAGACAAAAATTCTTAAAACTATAGATTCGGCCTCTGTATCGATAATAAATAATAATGTCTATTTCAATAAAATTTTCCAAAAAATATTTAATGTACAGATTTGACTTAGAATTTTATTATAAGTATAGTTTTCTATAAATATATTTATTTAAACATAGGTAGGTTAAGGTTTTTAGATGTTACTAAATAAACAATTAAGTAGCGCCATCTATTATAGTTTAATTCAAGTATACTTCAACGCGCGACGTCGACCTTAATATTGTATTGAACTTAAAAGAAATTTTCAGATCTAAAGATAGATGGCGCTGGTCGT